TCTTTTCTTTTTTCTTATTTTCTATCTTCTCTTTCTCTTATTTTTCCTTTAATGTTTTGTAGTTTCATTGCATTCAAAAATTCTAGTACTGAATAAAACAATAGGCTTCTTTAGTGGGAAAATTACATCAGTTTAAAAAGTTAAAATCACTGTTAAAAGAGACCTGTAGTAAAAAATATCTGATTAGTCTACTTTAAAAAAAGCACTTCTATTAGATGGAAGCAAAATGACCAAAGTAAGTAGTACAAAGTATGTGCTTGTATGGGAGTATGTATGGAAGCTTCCTGCTCTGTCCTGAAACCCAACCCCCCCCCCTTCCCCATGATTGGAGAATCTAGGCTGGGCGAGTCAGCCCCATGTGTAGCCATTAAGATCTCTAGAAGGACACTGAGCCACCTGTAGATGGGTTGGTGTTGGCACTGGTATTGGAGGTGACAAGTTCAGGATCCAGGCAAAAACGCCAGCCTTGCACAATGCAGCTAGATCATTTGTATAGTTATATGCTGGTCTACATGGCATGTGTGACTCCCTGTTCTGAAGAGAAGCTATAATTCACTTTGTGCTGAAAATATTTTTTAATTACTTTGCTCAGCTAATACTACTAAAACATTTTCTCTACTTAACCTGCTTAGGCTTCACTGAAACTTGCCTTTGAAATGTCTGTAACAATTCAAGATCCTTACTAACCTTGGAATGAACTTCTAGTTGAAAAGCTTAGGATGGAGGGGAATCCATCCTTCTTTGACTTAACACTGCCTAAACGTGAGCTCAGATTATCCTAACTTCATAATGGTTGTCTTTTTTTTAAAGGAAGCCTAAGCAATAGGAAATAATGAAAGATAGAAATGCTTGAAAAGAATAGAGATGCTTTTTCCATTCAGTTCTCCCATAATAAGTAGAAGGAGATCTAATTTAGAAACCTTCAAGTGCCTTTTGTTACAAAATAATAGGAGGTTTAGCAGAGGGCTGTACTTAGCTAATGTAATATATAAAATACAAGCCTCCTTCAGCACAACATGTTTCACCAGAGAATGCTCTTTGTAAATGGCGACTTGCATGATCAGTTCTGGGACTCTTAACTGTCATGTGACTTTGTTACATTGCAGTTTAAGTGCAAGTAATATAATTAATAGTACCATTTATATAGAGCTTTTAATTATTTAATAAAATTGCTCCACAACTTTTCAGCACTGCTGTAAGATAGGCCATATTATACTTACCTTTCAAAAATAGGTGTGGAGAAGGGATAGGGAGAACGGCATATGATTATGTAGAAAGCTAATTGCCCAGCAGATGTTTAAATATTACATGCCTGGTCTATTCTTATCTTGAATCTATATAAATTTTGAGTTAATGTATTAGGTTGCATTGATGATCCTCTCATGATACAGTATATCAAAAAATTAAATATCAATAAATTAAATTAGCATATTTTAGCTCTTCCAGATCTTTAACAACTGAAAGAAGGTCTCATTGAATTATGTAGGACACATTCCTTAGTAGATACACATAAGATTTTGCATTACATCTCTTTGTGTATTACATCTCTTTTTACTTCTGAGTAAAACAATTTAATTTTGCTGGGGTTGTGTGATTCTGCCACTAGCTTATCAGCCACAGTTTAGTTATGGCATAACAGTACCCCCTAAAAGCATTTGATAAATTACCCTATGCTGAATAGATGGAATTCAGCTTTCCCAAAATACAAAGGAAGAATAGATGAAACAAGACCATTCCTGTACAATTTCAGCAAAAGTCTTTGGGATGATGGATTTAGTCTAAATAAATTCTGATCTGCTGGCTAAACTCAGGACATCATACACAGATTGCCCTTGATTCAGTAAAGCACCAGTGTCCCCAGAGAGATTGGCTTTCACTTCACTTAACTCTGCCCCAGTCTATAAAACTGAGGATAAACATTCAAGAGAAATTAATGAGGAACATCCAAACAGAATGGTCAAATAAACTTTTTCCAACCATTCTTTCTGCAATGAATATGTGCTAAGAACCAAGAGCTTATTCAAGGAGATAATAAGTAACTAGTTTAGCTAGATTTGACCATATTTTTCTTATATTTGGAATTATGTTTGTGTGTCTGTTGTTTTCCTCTGTTTCCATTTCTATTTCCCTTTCCCCAGTAAATATATATATTTTTATAACTATAGATTGACCTGATTGGTTTTAGAAGCTAATTGCTCATTGAAAACTTTTCTACATGCAAGACTGTATGATTATGTAGCTGCCCCTTGCATTTCAGAATTAGCACAAGGTTTGTACAGTTCTCTGTGACTCTTTGTGTGAGAAGATCCTTCCTTTCTGTTTTCTAGAATTGGGCTAAACAGAACAGTCCTGGGTAGAAAAGATAATTGTTTCCCATTTGGACAGACTGAGGGATGTCAGGAGGTTTGTCTGACTTGTAGCAGCCTATTGTAATTATATTTTACTGGAGAATCTTTGGAAGAAGGGATCTAGTAAGGAGTTTTAAATTATCCCTCCTCCTGATTTCTAAGAAGTTAATACCACAATGGTTTACAGAATGTATATATCATAAAAAGTATTTAAAAACTGATGGTTATATCACAAATTACTTGACTGTACTGTTTGTAGAGAAAAGCAGTCTATCTAACAAGTGTTAGACTAGCATTACACAGATCTTTCAGAATGATTATCACATGTAGAGTTATTTGGTTTTGTGCAAAATATACTGCTTCTCTGCTATCTTATGAACATTTCAAGAGTTTCATTAATATTATATTTTTTCCAGGTTTTATTTCTTTTCATAAATCCTTTAAGGTGTAGAGGAATTGTCACAGACATTGCCATGAAACCCAATCTGAAACAATGGAAACAAGTAATGCTGTTTGGAATATTTGCCTGGGGCCTCCTGTTCCTATTTATCTTCATATATTTCACAGATAGCAACACCACTGATGCAGTTCCTAGTTCCTTCTCTTATGTTGAGACTAAAAGACTCTTGCCCATTCAAGGCAAACAGAGGGTTATCATGGGAGCAGTACATGACACACCCTTCTCTGAAACAGGAAATGAGATGCTCCTCAACAAAGATGTCTTAGATTCATTTAAATCAGAGACTGGGAACATTAAAAAGTGGACTGGCTTAGATGATAGTTTTGAAAGTGAAGAATTTTTTCCTTCTCAATTAAGAAGAAAATCCAAAAGTGACTTTCATCAGAGGAACAGTGATTATTTATTTGCTGCTGGTCAGCCTCAGTCACCACGTAACGTTCAGCAAATAGTGAAATTAAACTCTGCACAAAGAGAGGATCAGAAGAGGAATGTTTTGCAGAATAATTGGTTCCCTCAAAAGAAGATAAAGAAAAGACATATAAATCACAGAAGAAGAGAATTATTTGAAGAGTCCCATGAATGGAATGAAATCTATTCCACAATGTCAAAATCGTTCCTGTTCAGGCTTTGGAGAGGGGATGTCTCCTCCAAGATGCTGAATCCTCGCCTTCAGAAAGCAATGAAAGATTACTTGAGTGCCAATAAGCATGGGGTGCAGTTCAGAGGGAAGCGAAACTCCCAAGTGACTTCAGAACAGCTCTTCTGTGAACTCAAGGCACGCGTAAACATCAGAACCATTGATGGCGAAGAGGCTCCCTTTTCAGTCCTTGGTTGGAAAAAACACGTCCCTCAGACTTCACTGAGTAAACTCCGTCCTCATGGATTTGGAAGCTGTGCTGTCGTTATGTCTGCTGGTGCCATACTGAACTCTTCTCTGGGGCATGAAATAGGTGGGTAAAGATGCTTAGCTTATTTGAGCCCAGGTATATAGCTGGAATCCAAGTAGTTACACGTGGGCTATTTCTGTACACTTTGGCCAAGATAAGATAAGATAAGGTAAGCACAGAGTTAGACCAAAGGTCTAAGATAGCATCCTATTTCCTATAGGGACAACCATATCCTTTTTCTGGAGCCAAACAAAACAGCATTTTGCAACAGTACTCCTGTATTGTTATTCCCCAGCAAGGACACTATAGCAAGGCATACTGCCTCTGAACTCGGAGGTAATGTGTAATGACCATGGTTGAATTTATTGTCCATGAATCCATCCAACTTGGTTTTAAAGCAATTAGCTAGAGAGCATCATCATATCTTGTGACAGCTGAATTCTGCAGGTTCATTGTCTTGTGGTTTTAGGCATCTATGAATCTCCTTCCCATTGCAAGACTATGAATTTATAATTATTATGAGAAAGGTCTTTTTTTTTCCTTCCAACACTTAGTTTCCCCTTTTTATATGAACTTTCCCATCAACCCCCCCCCCCCCAAAAT